ATATCATAACATCTGTATTGCTCTAGAGGGAACAAACATGTATGTATGGTATTCTGCGACATTTCTAAGGCTTTTGATAGGGTTTGGCATAAGGGTTTGATGATTAATTTAAAATCCTATGGAATTTCAGGGGAATTGTATCAATGGTTGGGAAATTACCTATTCCAGAGGCACCAGAGAGTCTTTTTGAAAAATTCATACTCCGACTTAGGTTTCATTGAAGCATGTGTTCCTCATGGTTCGATTATTGGACCTCTTTTCTTTTTTATCTATATTAAGGATATTGCTGATGTGTTTGAATCAACCTCTCGTCTTTTTGCAATCTCATTAAAATCAAATGTTAATAAAAAAAAAAATACCTACGGAACGTAATAATGAACAGCTGTATTTATTCAGATTGGTCTTTTTTCAGACGATACTTCTTTGTGAAAATCATTCTCTTCATGTCTAGAAATCCAAACTTGGTAAGTAACATTCAATCCAGAAAAAATAGGTATATATAGGTAGGAATACCTACGGAACGTAATAATGAACAGCTGTATTTATTCAGATTGGTCTTTTTTCAGACGATACTTCTTTGTTAAAATCATTCTCTTCATGTCTAGAAATCCAAACTTGGTAAGTATCATTCAATCCAGAAAAAATAGGTATATTTTGTTTCAAACTTGGTTGAAATTGATGAAGATTTACAATTGGAATTTAATGGCGAATTTTTAAATTTTACTGATCATCATAAACAATTAGTACTTCAGTTATGAAAAAAGTCAACGTCTTACGTATACTAAAATACTTATTAAATCGAGATAATATTTTTAAGATTTATAGATCATTTATTTCACCAGTTTTAGAATATGATTGTGAATTGTGGGATGGTTGCACAACTTATGAAACAGAAATGTTAGAGAAAGCCCAAAGAGAAGCTTCTCGTATTATAACTGGACTTCCTTCATATGCCCGAAATGAAGACTTATTTTTTGAAACTGGTCTAGAAACTCTTTCGAGTAGAAGAAAACGCAGAAAACTCCAACTTTTGTATAAAATGAACAACAAATTAGCTCCGGACTACTTAAATTCTCTATTGCCATCTTCTGTTGCAGAAAATAACCGTTACACCCTCAGGAACAATGACGATTATAGAGAAAATAACTGTTACACCCTCAGAAACAATGACGATTATAGAGAAAATAACTGTTACACCCTCAGAAACAATGACGATTATAGAGAAAATAACTGTTACACCCTCAGAAACAATGACGATTATAGAGAAAATAACTGTTACACCCTCAGAAACAATGACGATTATAGAGAAAATAACTGTTACACCCTCAGAAACAATGACGATTATAGAGAAAATAACTGTTACACCCTCAGAAACAATGACGATTATAGAGAAAATAACTGTTACACCCTCAGAAACAATGACGATTATAGAGAAAATAACTGTTACACCCTCAGAAACAATGACGATTATAGAGAAAATAACTGTTACACCCTCAGAAACAATGACGATTATAGAGAAAATAACTGTTACACCCTCAGAAACAATGATGATTATAGAGAAAATAACCGTTACACCCTCAGAAACAATGACGAATCTCCTAAGGTTTCGGTGAACGTAAATTGAACATTTTGCACATTAAACTTAGACATCAGTGTAGTCCAACTAAATATGATCTTTATAGAGTAAATATGGTTGATAGTCCAGTTTGTTATTGTGGCCATCCCTGTGAAAATGCCTTTCACTTTTTTTGTGAGTGCTTACTTTTTAACAACGAAAGACACATCGTGCACCAAAATTTGAATGCCTTGCATGTTGATTTTAATGAAGAACTGCTTTTGTTTGTCAAATTTCGGTAGAAAACAACCTAAGTATCTTTAGACATGTGCATCATTACATCAAATCCAGCAATAGGTTTTGATAGCAATAATTATTTTTCTATTTTTATTTACGTGTAAGTTGTTATATGTGTTTATGAAATAGCATTTCATTTTGCCTAATTTCTTTGTTAACTTGATTCTGTTCATCTTGAAATTACTCTACCAGGATGCATGTCATGAAATTTGTATAATTTATAATTTATTATTTATTAAAATGCGGAATATTTCATAGTTTACACGTTTTCTTTTGCAGGAGGCACGGTAATCTAGTGGTAGGACGCCGGGCTACAGGAGGCACGGTAGTCTAGTGGTAGGAAGCCGGGGTACAGGAGGCACGGTAGTCTAGTGGTAGGAAGCCGGGGTACAGGAGGCACGGTAGTCTAGTGGTAGGAAGCCGGGGTACAGGAGGCACAGTAGTCTAGTGGTAGGAAGCCGGGGTACAGGAGGCACGGTAGTCTAGTGGTAGGAAGCCGGGGTACAGGAGGCACAGTAGTCTAGTGGTAGGGCGCCGGGCTACAGGAGGCACGGTAGTCTAGTGGTAGGACGCCGGGCTACAGGAGGCACGGTAATCTAGTGGTAGGACGCCGGGCTACAGGAGGCACGGTAGTCTAGTGGTAGGAAGCCGGGCTACAGGAGGCACGGTAGTCTAGAGGTAGGGCGCCGGGCTACAGGAGGCACGGTTATCTAGTGGTAGGAAGCCGGGCTCGTGACCGAAGCGTTGCGTGTTCGAGTCACGACACGGCACTGTGTTGTATCTTTGTATCTGCTAGTCAACTCAGCTGTAAATGATTACGTGGTTGAGCAGCGCTAGAATTGTTGAATGCAAGCTGTTACCGCCGAAATGGCAGTTCTGGTTGAGTGCCCTCCAGGGAGTTGAGAAAGATATTGGCTGGTTGCAAAGGCCTTATAACCACGGATAATAATTTGTGAACCGCTTTGAGACGACCTACGGCCTAGGTTGTGATAAAGCGGTATAAAAGGATTCCATCAGCCCCCCCCCCCCCCCACACACACACCCTTTCCTTCTCCCCCCTATCTTTCTCTCTCTCCCAAAAAACATATATACATTATTTTGTTCCATATCTATTGAGAAGAGGACTTTATTAAGTTGTAATAACTTGTTTTCCAATCCATTTGTATATTTGTACAATGAAATATGTTTAAACTTACTCCTATTTGTCTGTTTGCGATCTTTTGTCATACTTCCACCAGTTTTATCAGGAGAAGGGAGGTTATCCTGATTTCGTTGCCATGCTAAAGTATCCATAACCGTTGCAGGACGTTCTCATTCAGCTGTACGGGATTACAGTCGGACAGGCCTGTTATCAAATCCTCCACATTTTATACCAGGATTATTGCGTTTTGCAGTCATCCACGAAAGCCAAGCTGTTATTTCTCAATAATGTTCGACAGCCGAGAGAAGGCAAAGCACTTTTTTTCTTAACATGAACGTGATCGATTGTCTGATTGTGATTTCGTACATACTAAAATTATGTTTGATGTTATATTACAATGATTTGTGTTTTTGTTATCCATACCATTTAAACAAATGCTGTTAAACGTCAAATAAAAAGTTCCACATCTGTACAGTGCGTCCCTTTGCCTTCGCCAATGTGATGTACTTTCGTATACCGTTGTGAAATCCTGTCCTTTTGCATTGGCGCTGTGGTATATTTTGTTTTTGTGTATTGATCTTTGTGGTATATTTTGTGCCTTTGTTTTAACGGTTTTCACAGTATGTCATCATGTGTAGACACTTTTATACATGGTATTTTTGTTTTTGTATGTTGACACTGTGGTTATTTTGTTCACGTGTATTGATGCTGCAGTATATTTGGTCCTCTTGTGTTGACACTGCGATATACTTTGACGCTGTGGTATATTGTGTCCTTTAATGTTGACGCTGTGGTATATTTTGTCCTTTAATGTTGACGCTGTGGTATATTTTGTCTTTTAATGTTGACGCTGTGGTATATTTTGTCCTTTAAGATTGACGCTGTGGTATATGTTGTCCTTTAATATTGACGCTTTGGTATATTTTGTCCTTTAATATTGACGCTGTGGTATATTTTGTCTTTTAATGTTGACGCTGTGGTATATTTTGTCCTCCCGTTTCGACACTTTGATACATTTTGTCCACGTATTGACGCTGTGGTGTAGACTGTCATCAAGTGTTGATAGTTTGGTGTACTTTGTCCTTGTGTGTTCGGGGGTGTAACTGGTTCATGGCTTGTTAATATTGAATGCATGAATCCATATTTTTATTTAAAGTCAACACTAAAAACGACTGCGGAACCAATAGTTCCATATCCTTTCCAAACGATTTAGTAACTAAAACAGTTACACAAGTCAGGTAAAACTTGTGTGTTATCGAGGTAAAGATTTTCTGAGTTTGGGATTCTAATTTCAGCCAACACCTGAAGGTTTGGCCGAGCTATTTCAAACTCTTTCCTGACGGCAGTGAGGCAAATATTCTGTTTCCGATACGACACTAGTTTTATTCTGCTGGAGTCAAGAGTACCTAACTATTTCAAGACACCGTCGAGCGCATAGCAAGATGTTCGGTAGTTTTAACTCGGCTATTTCACGCTCTGTCGAGCGGAGCAAGGGAAATGTTCTGTCTAGGGGAAATATTATAGCTGTCGAGCAGAGCGGGACGTTTATATTTGTGCTCGAGTTAGAGGGAGTGTGCCCTTTTTTCTCGGAAATGTAGTCCTGAAATAGTATAAACTCGGTCGAGCAAAGCTAATCGTTAACCAAGTCTATAGATAGATATATGGTATACACGATTACATAGCCTAGTGAAGACCGGACAGAGATTTGTTTCTCCTTTCTCGGTGTTTGGGAACTATAAATGCTACTGAAAGGAGGGCGGATATTTTTTCTGAGGTTGAAACATAATATGAAAGTACAAATATTAAACAAATCATGTCGATAGTATGTCTACACAATTCGTACTGTGAAAGAAAGAGGGAGGGATGTTCCCAGAATTCGCTCAGAATTGAACCATCTATATCCCTAAAACGTATTTGTAAAAAGACATTCTACATTTTAGCAACAGTTTAGTTACTAAACGTGTGTACGGTATTTTGATCAAAAGAAAATCAAACGAGGACAAACACTTTTCTTTTAAGTTGTTTAATGAATTCTGGTGGTACGAAAGAAAATATAAATGATAAAATGTAAGTTATGCTTCTTAATTATCATGCACATTTACAATGTATATATATATAAAAAAAAATGTATATTAGAAACATATGAATAGTATTGAATACATATTAGTAATAGTCAAGTAGATGAATGTTTAAATGGCAGATGATTCTGTAACTATGTAAAGATGTTTTGATTATCATTCAATGTTCTCTGTTCTCCCTGATCATACTAGTCACCTCACGTGATAAGTGATTCAGTCACGTGGATAATCATGTGTTTGAAGACACTAGTTATTATACTCCTTTATATATGTAGGAAGTGTAATGATACACCCGATTTTGGTGCGCGATACACCAAATATAGGTGAAGCAATACACCCGATACCGGTGTTATGCTACACCCAATACACTGTAAGATACACCAAAGACTAGTGTTACGATATACCCGATATAAGTGTAACGATACACCAGATACGGGTCTCCCAACACACATCCTTACTGGTGTTATGATACACTCCGTACAAACTGTTTTGCGACTCCCCATAATTTCTCCCATAGAACGCCATAGGTACTTGGCGTTGAGCTGCGGAACTTCAAACCCTGCTTTTTCCATCACATCAAAAGACGACCAAGAAATGTTCGTATACTGACGTACATACGTATCATAATAAACGAACGATCCTTCTGATTTGTTAAAGGTCGTTATAATTCAAATGTTTAATAATTTTGAAGTCGAAAATTGTTATCTTTCAAAGCGTCCTGTTACAAGTACCGTGTCACGTGCTGTTCTGTCTCACCTCATTTCATGTACGTATCAGCAATCTAATACTCGCCGTAAGTAATGTATTTCTTCTTCTCGTGGTAAGCTGGTCGCCTGCTGCTGCCGTACTCCGCGTATGTCGGCTCCCCCTTGTACGAGTACCTGTAGGAGCTAGGGGGCGCCACAACGTACGGCGGTGGCTCTGCGCGAGGCATTCTGGGAGGCTCTTGCATGTACATCACAGGCTGGGGAGCTCTTTTACGGGGGCGGCGTTCATATTCCTCATCGTCGTCGTAATCGTACATTTGTAGACGGATGAGGAAAATGATGACAGCAAGGACGATAGCAACACCCCCGGCGGCGGCAACTAATGCCAGCGAGTAGTCGGCCTTGTTGCTGATTGAGTTATTAATTCCGTATAGGCCTCCCGCGTTACGGATCTGACTGACGTAGAACCATATCACTGACGCGATCAGCAATAGACCTATAAAGGAACCGTAACATCAGTAAGTAATAGAGCAAAATTTTGGAAAATATTTTCTCATTTCTTTTCAACATCATATAGTTTTACCAAATAATGTTTTGTATGCCAGTTCCGTCTCATGAATTGTCTTAATCAACTGCATTTAATAACAACTACAAAAATTAGGTTATCTGCTCATAATCTAAATATAGAAAAAGGTAGATATCAAAATATTGAGCGTAGTCTTAGAGTGTGTACTGTATGTGATTTAAATGATGTTGAAGATGAGTTTCATTTTATGTTGAAATGTCCATGTTATTCGGATTTGCGTGTTAAATTTTTGAAAAAGTACTATGTAAAAAACCCAAGTATGTTTTAAATGATAAATCTATTTAATGTAAATAACACAAAATATATAAAAGCGGCAAATGTAAGAAGAAACCAATTAACTTAGTTTGTTACACTCTCCATACTGTTTGTACATTACTGGTATTGTATTGTATGTATTGCATTGTATTGTATTGTCTGTAGATATTGTAGATACATCTCACTTATGAAACCGATAGGTCATAAGACCCAAGGTAATAAAGAACTTGAACATGTACCAGTGACGCGACAAAAGGTCTTTTTTTTTTTTTACCTCCAATCAAAGTGAACCATGCTACATACAGGTAGCGCCTCCTGTCGGTACGACACCCCCCGCATTCTCCCTGCAAGTCGTCACAGCGGCAGACGGAACAGAAGGTGAAGAGCAGGGCAAGACCGATGAAAAAGATTCCGAAAACACAGAAAACGATACAGCCAATGAGGTCATCTGTAAAAAGAAAAACAGCATTCCTTAGATATTTTTAATGCCTCCATTGATATGGCTTTGAGGTAGCAGTATGTACCTAAATGTTTCATTCTTACATGTACAGTCATTTTTCTTCTCAGCAAACTAGACGTTGACACTTATCAATGTTTGAAAACAAAATCATCGCCATTAATATTTATTTACAAAATGTCAGCAGTGTAATATCTGAGCCTTCATGTTCTTCCTTGAACAACGTATTTTTTTGTCGATAACTTATTTGTAATACTGTGCAGTTTGAAGCAATTTTTATATTTGTACACATACCGACATGTGTCTGTCAAATCTAAGCGCTGCAATATTGTAACTTTGGATGCAGCACACCGCTTATTGTATCCCCGGGTACACTAACTCCCTCCTCTGTCACAAACAACCCCTGATATCCCTACCAATAACATTTAAGGATTCCCGTACCACTGCCACAACCTTTAACCAAGAATTCCCCGGCATGACTATCTACAGCTTTGACAACAATCTTTATCTATATTCCGAGTGTAAAAAAAATAACGGTGCTAGACCGAGATTCGAGCTTTGGACTACCAGTTGTTTTAATACTGCTCTAACCGACTGAGCTACCTAATCAAGTGTTCTGAATAAAGCATGGATTTTCTGAATCCTTATGGAATATTTTGTGTATCATGAAATGTTGTAAAATTCAAATAAAGTTTAACTAAGTGTTCTGGCCCAACAGTGCTAAACGAAATTAAAGGGAGGTTACTGTATACACGAAATTAAAGGGAGGTTACTGTATACACGAAAATTTAAATGATACAACTGTGATGTACGCTTCGACACTGCCAGTGTCAGCTTACACTGCAACTTAGTGGGAGCAAAACACGCGTGCTTACGAAATAACTTGCTCATATATCACTTTGTTTACTTATTCGCATTGCATGTTGATAATTACAACGGTAAAAGAAGAGGCAATAAGTTCGCCAAGTTTTCATCTAAATATGATTACCAATGTATATGAAAGTATTCCGAGATATCTTACTATTGTTTACAATTATGACGAGATACTGTTGTTTGTTGCACGTTGGTTACAGCATAGATACAGATTGTGAGACAAACAATGGTATCATATTACATTAATTAGATAAACAATGGTAACATATTACATTAATTAGATAAACAATGGTAACATATTACATTAATTAGATAAACGTTAGACGCATACGCTTGTGACGCCTACTGATTACAATATAGATTCATACGTTTGTGACGCATATTGGTTACACTATATAGATTCATACGTTTGTGACGCATACTGGTTACACTATATAGACTCATACGTTTGTGACGCATATTGGTTACAATATAGATGTATACGTGTGTGACGCATATTGGTTACACTATATAGAATAATACGTTTGTGACGCATACTGGTTACAATATAGATTCATACGTTTTAGACGCATACTGGTTACAATATATAGATTCATACGTTTTAGACGCATACTGGTTACAATATAGATGTATACGTTTGTGATGCATACTGGTTACAATATAGATTCATACGTTTGTGACGCATACTGGTTACAATATAGATTCATACGTTTGTGACGCATACTGGTTACACTATATAGACTCATACGTTTGTGACGCATACTGGTTACAATATATAGACTCATACGTTTGTGACGCATACTGGTTACACTATATAGACTCATACGTTTGTGACGCATACTGGTTACAATATAGATTCATACGTTTTAGACGCATACTGATTACAATATAGAATCATACGTTTGTGACGCATACTGGTTACAATATAGATTCATACGTTTTAGACGCATACAGGTTACAATATAGATGTATACGTGTGTGACGCATATTGGTTACACTATATAGAATAATACGTTTGTGACGCATACTGGTTACAATATATAGACTCATACGTTTTAGACGCATACTGGTTACAATATATAGATTCATACGTTTTAGACGCATACTGGTTACACTATAGATTCATACGTTTGTGACGCATATTGGTTACACTATATAGACTCATACGTTTCAGACGCATACTGGTTACAATATATAGACTCATACGTTTTAGACGCATACAGGTTACAATATAGATGTATACGTGTGTGACGCATATTGGTTACACTATATAGACTCATACGTTTTAGACGCATACTGGTTACAATATAGACTCATACGTTTGTGACGCATACTGGTTACAATATAGATTCATACGTTTGTGACGCATACTGGTTACAATATAGACTCATACGTTTGTGGCGCATACTGGTTACAATATAGATTCATACGTTTTAGACGCATACTGGTTACCATATAGATGTATACGTTTGTGACGCATATTGGTTACACTATATAGATTCGGACGCTTAATTTTGACGCATACTGGTTACAATGTAGATGAAGTTTATTCAGACATCCATTGTCTACAAAATAGATTCAGATGTCGGTGATGTACAGTATCTTGCATGAACATGATGCCCCTGTTTACGCACGTGTACTAGGAATCGTGCATACGTTAACATTTATCATGGAATATGTTTGAACGGAACTGTGTAGCATACCCTAAATGTTAAAAAGATGCATTTCAAACCTTATGAGAGTTCTGTGTAAGTCAACTTGAAGTGCACACCTAACCCCCGTGCCTGACATTGTTACAAGGAATGTTGAGACACTATAGCCCTGTCATTGTTATGTGGAATGTTTGAAGAAAATTTCATGTTCCGGTTGACTTGCCGAGTATTTAGGTGACAGGGGTGTATAGGTCTTCGCAGGGTCGCCATAGGTACAGTTCCCAGGAGATCATATCACTTTGCTCATATATGAAGTAGATACCAGACGGGTTTACCCTCTTTGTTAACTCTGGGTTAACCCTCTTTGTTGTTAACTGTGTGTGTGTGTGTGTGTGTGGTATTACGTCACAAGTTATGGCACAACCTAAGAGTAGTGACTGCCAATTTATTTTGTAAAAATTGAAATGAACATTAAAGAAGGTAATCGTGACGAGATTAACGGCATAAGTTCTTAATCGGATAAACGAAACAACAAAAACTTTAATGAAGCTGTGTGTTGACTTGTTTACACCTGATGACCGACGGCTGCTTATGTATAAATACATACGCCCTCCGATTCATAGACACATTCACACATTTACCTGCCGAGAGATTTCACAATACCTAAAATGTGAAAAAAACTTTATGAAAGGCTTATAATTACATACAAATACAGCCTTCAGCGGTGAGCTGTCTATAGCATACACCCACTCGTACAGAAACGTGTTACACGGCCGAAGAATGTACAATTGTACAAATATTGGGCTAGTCTTGTTAGTACATACGTGTCTGATAAATAGCGTCTATTGTTGAACCCCCTCAACTTTCATGTAGGCCATATATCTATTGATGTCGACCCGGTTTCTAATTATTTGTAAGAATTCCTTAACTCTACCGTCTAATTATGATAATTGCACAGCTCCTACCGTCAACAGTACCTAAAATTCCTGTACCGCTTACAGAGTTGCTACCATCGTTATATAGTCTTTGCATAGTTCTAACCATCAACACACTACCATTGCTTATATGCAATATTAATATAAGATAGACAGGTGCTACCATCAATTACATTACATAGTTGTTATCATCAATATATTGTCCAGATTAGTTATCCTTAATCAAGGCCATAACACCAAATCGTGTCTCAGAATAGCACAACATCCCTTCGTGTATCAGATTAGCTGTTCTAAACAACGGACAGAACAGCCCTTCGTGTCACAGATTAGCTGTTCTAAACCACGGACACAACAGCCCTTCGTGTCTCAGATTAGCTGTTCTAAACCACGGACACAACAGCCTTTCGTGTCTCAGATTAGCTGTTCTAAACCAAAGACACAACAGCCCTTCGATTAGCAATCCTAAACCAAGCCCTTCGTGTCTAGATTACCCGACTTACAGCCCTTCGTGTCTAGATCACCTGACCTACAGCCCTTCCTGTCTAGATTAGCTGTTCTAAACCACGGACACAACAGCCCTTCGTGCCTCAGATTAGCTGTTCTAAACCAAGGACACAACAGCCTTTCGTGTCACAGATTAGCTGTTCTAAACCACGGCCACAACAGCCCTTCGTGTCTCAGATTAGCTGTTCTAAACCAAGGACACAACAGCCTTTCGTGTCTCAGAGTAGCTGTTCTAAACCACGGACACAATATCCCTTGGTGTCTGAGAATAGCTGTTCTAAACCAAGGACAAAACAGGCCCTCGTGTCTAAGATTAGCTTTGCTAAACAACGGACACAACAACCCTTCGTGTCTCAGATTAGCTGTTCTAAACCACGGACACAACAGCCCTTCGTGTCTCCGATTAGCTGTTCTAAACCAAAGACACAACAGCCCTTCGATTAGCAATCCTAAACCAAGCCCTTCGTGTCTAGATTACCCGACTTACAGCCCTTCGTGTCTAGATCACCTGACCTACAGCCCTTCGTGTCTAGGTTACCTGACCTACAGCCCTTCGTGTCTAGATCACCTGACCTACAGCCCTTCGTGTCTAGGTTACCTGACCTACAGCCCTTCGTGTCTAGATTACCTGACCTACAGCCCTTCGTGTCTAGATTACCTGACCTACAGCCCTTCGTGTCTAGGTTACCTGACCTACAGCCCTTCGTGTCTAGGTTACCTGACCTACAGCCCTTCGTGTCTAGGTTACCTGACCTACAGCCCTTCGTGTCTAGGTTACCTGACCTACAGCCCTTCGTGTCTAGGTTACCTGACCTACAGCCCTTCGTGTCTAGGTTACCTGACCTACAGCCCTTCGTGTCTAGGTTACCTGACCTACAGCCCTTCGTGTCTAGGTTACCTGACCTACAGCCCTTCGTGTCTAGATTACCTGACCTACAGCCCTTCGTGTCTAGGTTACCTGACCTACAGCCCTTCGTGTCTAGGTTACCTGACCTACAGCCCTTCGTGTCTAGGTTACCTGACCTACAGCCCTTCGTGTCTAGGTTACCTGACCTACAGCCCTTCGTGTCTAGGTTACCTGACCTACAGCCCTTCGTGTCTAGGTTACCTGACCTACAGCCCTTCGTGTCTAGGTTACCTGACCTACAGCCCTTCGTGTCTAGGTTACCTGACCTACAGCCCTTCGTGTCTAGGTTACCTGACCTACAGCCCTTCGTGTCTAGGTTACCTGACCTACAGCCCTTCGTGTCTAGGTTACCTGACCTACAGCCCTTCGTGTCTAGGTTACCTGACCTACAGCCCTTCGTGTCTAGGTTACCTGACCTACAGCCCTTCGTGTCTAGGTTACCTGACCTACAGCCCTTCGTGTCTAGGTTACCTGACCTACAGCCCTTCGTGTCTAGGTTACCTGACCTACAGCCCTTCGTGTCTAGGTTACCTGACCTACAGCCCTTCGTGTCTAGGTTACCTGACCTACAGCCCTTCGTGTCTAGGTTACCTGACCTACAGCCCTTCGTGTCTAGGTTACCTGACCTACAGCCCTTCGTGTCTAGGTTACCTGACCTACAGCCCTTCGTGTCTAGGTTACCTGACCTACAGCCCTTCGTGTCTAGGTTACCTGACCTACAGCCCTTCGTGTCTAGGTTACCTGACCTACAGCCCTTCGTGTCTAGGTTACCTGACCTACAGCCCTTCGTGTCTAGGTTACCTGACCTACAGCCCTTCGTGTCTAGGTTACCTGACCTACAGCCCTTCGTGTCTAGATTACCTGACCTACAGCCCTTCGTGTCTAGGTTACCTGACCTACAGCCCTTCGTGTCTAGGTTACCTGACCTACAGCCCTTCGTGTCTAGGTTACCTGACCTACAGCCCTTCGTGTCTAGGTTACCTGACCTACAGCCCTTCGTGTCTAGGTTACCTGACCTACAGCCCTTCGTGTCTAGGTTACCTGACCTACAGCCTTTCGTGTCTAGGTTACCTGACCTACAGCCCTTCGTGTCTAGGTTACCTGACCTACAGCCCTTCGTGTCTAGATTAGCTGTCGTAATCCAAGGATTAGGAAACATTTAGATTTTTAATTGGTTTCCGTTTTATTTAAGACAGTTTTATTTGTTTTTGATTACATTCACAATTATTAACGGCTGATGTACGTCAAATTCTACGGTATGTTGTCGAATGTGGTTTCTGTATACACAACACGTGAGTTTCTGCTTTCTATGTGATTCATTCAATAACACAGTATTTATTTATAATGATAAATATAATTGAAGTCCATATTGGAGTAAAGTGCTAACACACCCGGATACTGTGGCCCCGTCACGTCAATACGTTTGATGCTGCTACGTGGGTTAACTACCCGGTTAATATCCCAGTCACACCTTAGATGGATAATCCAGGAATAACCGCGTGTATCATGACACACTCATACATTCTTGTATCTTGTGGGTAGGATGTAAGACAATCCCGACTTTGTTACAAACTGAAACTAAGGGACACGCCTAACTTATATTCCAGCCCTTCCCCTAAAATATCGCCCGTCACGACCTATTTATCTATAAAAAAATACTACTAAGTTCGGCTATTACAAAAGATAATATGCGACACCTGATCAGCAGAGTGTCTGTCGGGTATACGGTTACTCGCCTCCCGACAGAGGGGTCACGGGTTTGATATCCTACCTTCCGCGGATTTTTATAGAGTCCTACTTTCCACGGAATTCAAAATCCTTATCATATTTGACATTTTGTCATGGTTCATAAATCAATTTATGACGCCATTGCGTCTGATGAAGAGGGGATGCGACACATATAAAGAACACTTCTATATGGAGTGTATGCTTGATTAGATCGCAGTGTATATTATTTGTAACCTGTTCGCTGGTTTTCATTGTGAATATTACAACGTTAAAAAGTGAACAACATTCGACTGGTCAAGAAAATAACTGCCAGTGTCTAGAAAATAATAAACATGCATAGACCAAAGGTTACAGACTATGTGTGAAAAAAACCTGCCAGAGACCTGTATTTAGTTAGGACGATCACTCTGTCTAGTCAACCGTACCGGATCAATAGGGCGAGCCCTTAATGGTTTTGTGTCATCACGGAGTAGCACCGTGTCATACATTGAACTCCTTTTAATTAGAATACTTAACATTTAAACATACGCCCTGAAGACATCAGCGATAACCTTTACTTACAGCACAATACTTTCGACAGAAGCGCTCCCGTGTTTTCTGCAAAACACTTCAGCAAACATATACAACGAAGTTAAAAGAATACACCATGTACCGTACACTTAGAATGGACCGCTCGTACATAATACCACTGACTTGGATAACTAATCTAATTCCGTGATAATACCTATGTAAGTAAATCACCCACCAGCACAGTAGACATAAATGCCAGGTTGGTAATGATCACGATCGTAGGACACGTGCAGTCATATTAACTAATAACAGGTAGCGACTTACCACTATATTTGGATAAGTTGAAATAGTCGAGGTATCTTCTACACGTGTTGGACTCACACACGTCGAAAAATCCGGCAGTGATTGTTGGGATAGCTGTGGAGTTGGTGGACACCTTGTACCAGCTGGGCGTGGCAAATCCAACAAGAGCCAACACAAATGCTACCAGGAGTACAAGTAGTACGAACCATTTCGTCTCCTCCCGAGCCATGTTTCCTGTCCGGTGTTAGTATCGTCCACCCGTGTGTACGACTCCTACCAGCTTGTCCCGTGTCCTTCCCCAAACTATTAACAGAAAGACAGCTTACTCAGTCGGCGTCACGCTAGCCTGGCCACCCGTATACGAAAACACAACGGCAGGGACCACTGTGTGAACTTATAACCGCATCAATAGCATAGACCATCAGAATGTCAACCAGTGAGGGTTTTACTACATATTCAAGATCACTCAAGTGAAACCACTATTATTTACCCACTCTGTCGCGGTCGGCTGATTTAAGAAAAATACACACCCAATTGAGATCGTGCCGGACGGCCCGTGCATCAATAAGGAAATTACAGCATGTTTTATTTACTCGGCGATGAGATTTGAGAGAAGAATGTTTAATTGTCTAGTTTTTAATGGAATTGTCACCAAATGGTTTATGTACAAGTGACATATGACCACAGGTTGGATACATTGTTCGACTCACATTTCAAATTCCTAAGTTAAGGAGTAATTTAGGTATACATATACGATTACATTATAGATTAAAGTTTACGTGTGACGAAGCCGAATATGGTCAGAGATCAACCATCCGTGACATAATATACAAAACGCTACATGTGTAATCACAAGTTTTATTTTCATACCAGCTAATGTCAGTGTGTGCCCTTGTGAAATATTAACCAAGGCACGTTTTGCAACTTTATCTAAACGATTTCTATGCAAATCATACGGTTATGTTTATCCAGAGACTTATATATTATATACGTCTCTGGTTACTAAAGTTAGACAGTATTCGTGTATTATTTGAATGCGTGATACTGTAAGAAGTGATACGTGTTTCACGGTCTGATAATTAGAGCACATCCGATCTCCCCCGAACCCATTCGTAGACGAATCACTGGGAATTCAATGGCTGGTCAGTTTGACATTTCAAAATTAATCCGAAACGACCACCATGTGTAACCGTTTCATGAGCTTAATTGAATATCACGAACAAACATTTGGGCGTTTGTTATATTGTGTAATCCTTAACGCGCCTCCGAGGTTTGACCCGTGAATGTCAGTTAGGTAAACAGAGTATAAAATGGCAGACGGTAGCTGGTCACCCCAGCTTGACCACAATTCTGTGCTCTGGAACCCCTATAACCGGTCTATTGGACGGCAATCAACACTACCTACTCTTATACCAGCTATATAACAAAATCGTTTACATCAACATTCCTCTGCAGTTGTTTGTGTGTGGTATTGGTTGACAAACAGTGGTACTGGACTCCCAACTACTAATCAATAAACAAGGTGATATCTTGGCGATACTGGTTTTGTTTAGTGCTGGAATGTTATACCATATTCAGGTAAAATGCCAATAAAGGTAATCTTAAAAGGACATTCATGTACTGTCACGAACGTGAAATAAAAGTAGGGTTATGCAATGATTGACTGTCAGTATTAGGGTAGTGTAATGTTGGTCGGTATTATTTTAGTATTTGTAACTATCGTCTATAGATAAGTTTCATAGTCCCTGTCAAACATCACCCTCTCTCAAACATGCATTCTTACAGAACATTACATTACATTCAGTAACCAGGCGGATACGCACTGATTTTGTTTTAATACTGTTTATAACAAACAAAAAAACAAGCGAATATTATTTTTTATAGTTCATGAAATAATTTTAGATGAAACGATTTTTGCTTATAATACTGTCCAAGGGCGTAGCTAGCCCTTGTTAGGAGTGGATTTATTTAGGACTGGGTCAAGGGCATGGCCTTGGCAGGAAGACAGTAGGGCCTTGGCAGGGAAACAGCATGGCCTTAGTAGGGAGACAGAAGGACCTTGGTAGGGAGACAACAGTGCCTTGGCAGGGAGAAAGCAGGGCCGTGACAGGGAAACAGCAGGGCCATGGCAGGGAGGCAGCATGGCCTTAGTAGGGATACAGAAGGGCCTTGATAGGGAGACAGTAGGCCCTTGGCAGGGAGACAACATGGCCTTAGTAGGGAGACAGAAGGCCCTTGGTAGGGAGACAGCGGGGCCGTGACAGGGAAACAGCAGGGCCATGACAGGAAGACAGCAGGGCCGTGACGGGGAGACAGCAGGGCCGTGTCAGGGAGACAGCAGGTCCTTGACAGGGAGACACCAAGGCCTTGGCAGGGAGCCAGCATACCAGCGAATTGATAACAACGCGCCTGCTGTCAGTGATTGGTGACTTTCATCTGATGACATATGACTACTTAAAGGGAAGTATTCAACATCCCAGAGGTAACAAGTTATGTCTACAAACGATTTTGACGGGATACATTATAACGGGTGCCATATCTGGTGCCCGAAATTCTGTTGTCATGACAGTTTGTGTCATCTCTGAGCTCTTTCGTCCTTTCTATATCGACAACGTGGTACATGTTAATTTGACTTTACACCTACGAGTCCTTAAGTATTACCAGATAAATCCATTATTACACCAATGGGTCCTCGTATATTACCTTATAAATCCAGTATTACACCAATGGGTCCTCGTATATTACCTTATAAATCCAGTATAACACCAATGGGTCCATGAATATTACCTGATAAATCAAGTATTACACCAATGGGTCCTCATGTGTTACCTGATAAATCCATTATTACACCAATGGGTCCTCATGTGTTACCTGATAAATCCAACAGTATGGCCTTGGCAGGAAGACAGCATGGCCTTGGCAGGGAGTCAGCGGGGCCTTGGCAGGGAAACAGCATGGCCTTAGTAGGGAGACAGAAGGCCCTTGGTAGGGAGACACCAGGGCCTTGGCAGGGGTACAGCAGGGCCTTGGTAGGGATTTAGCAGGGCAGGCAGACAGTATGGCTTTTGCAGGGAGACAGCAGGTCCGTGACAGGGAGACGGCAGGGCCGTGACAGGGACACAGCAGGGCCTTGACAGGGAGACAGCAAGGCCTTGGCAGGGAGATAGCAGGGCCTTGGCAGGGAGACAGCATACCAGCGAATTGATAACAACGCGCCTGCTGTCAGTGATTGGTGATTTTCATCTGATGACATATGACTACTTAAAGGGAAGTATTCAACATCCCAGAGGTAACAAGTTATGTCTACAAACGATTTTGACAGGATACATTATAACGGGTGCCATATGTGGTGCCCGAAATTCTGTTGTCATGACAGTTTGTGTCATCTCTGAGCTCTTTCGTCCTTTCTATATCGACAATGTGGTACATGTTAATTTGACTTTACACCTACGAGTCCTTAAGTATTACCAGATAAATCCATTATTAAACCAATATTTCCTGTAGTAGTACCAGATAAATCCTGTATAACACTCATGGGTCCTCGAGTATTATCTGATAAATCCAGTATTACATCAATGGGTTCTCAAGTATTACCTGATAAATCAGTTATTACACCAATAGATCCTCAAGTATTACATGCTAAAACCAATCATGTAGTGTCTGCTCAGTCCAGTATTATAACAATGGGTCCTAAAGTATTACCTGATATATCCAGAATGACACCAATGGGTCATCTACGGTTACCGATATAACACCAATGGGTCCATGAATATTACCTGATAAATCCGGTATTACACCAAGTAGTCCTCAAGTATTACATGATAAATCCGGCATTACACTAATGGGTCCTCAAATATTACCTGATAAATCAAGTATTACACCAATGGGTCCTCGTATATTACCTGATAAATCCAGTATTTCACCAATGGGTCCTCGTATATTACCTGATAAATCCAGTATTACACCAATGGGTCCTCATGTATTACCTTATAAATCCAGTATTACACCAAATGGGTCCTCGTATATTACCTGATAAATCCAGTATTACACCAATGGGTCCTCATGTATTACCTTATAAATCCAGTATTACACCAATGGGTCCTCATGTATTACCTTATAAATCCAGTATTACACCAAATGGGTCCTCGTATATTACCTGTTAAATCCAGTATTACACCAATGGGTCCTCGTATATTACCTGATAAATCCAGTATTACACCAATGGGTCCTCATGTGTTACCTGATAAATCCAGTATTACATCAATAGGTCCTCGTATATTACCTGATGAATCAGTATTACACCAATGTGTCCACGTGTATTACTTGTTAAATCCAGTATTACAGCAGTGGGGCATCGTGTATTACCTGATAGATCCAATAGTTCACCAATAGGTCCTCAGGAATTACTTGATAAAACAGTGTAACACTTTTCTCACCAAGGTGCTCCCTTCTCTCGATGTTTTAAGACTCGACACTTGCGCTTTACTTGAGGCCCTGACGTCACTCGAGAATCGTGCTTTGTCCGCCCTGTACGTAAAAATAGCGTCTTCTTTGTCGTTTAAATAAAAAAATAAAAACCCGTTTCAGGCCAGGTATCAGGAACACAGGTGCTCGGCTTCGGAATGCTTTTGGTTAATAATAAACCTATATTCACAAGTTAATAACAGCAACACTTTAAAAAAATATACCTCGGTACCATTCATTTTTGTTGAGGTATTAGAATGTGTATAAACACCGGATAAAAAAGTGTTGCTGTTATTTACTGGCGTGTAGGTTTATTATTAACCGTAGGTATCTCGAAATCGAGCCCCTGTGATAAGGAAGTAAAGTTACGTCCTTGATTGTCGTAAGTAATACATGAGAGACATATATATATATATATACAGTAAAACGATGTAACTCTATATGTAGTATACACTGTGTACGTTCACGTGTCAAAACTTCAACACAATAATGAAATTGTATACAAGATATATATTATCTGTATAGAGGCTCAACAATGAGTGACTGTGTTATACGAGCGTCATTCATTAAATTCTGTCACTAGTGTCAGGAGTCAAGTGTAAGATGTATATTGGTTGATCTCTATAACAATCTTTTGAAGCATCCCCCTTGGCAGAAACGCACTTTCACAATCGCCCTACTCCGCGGTAGTCTCCCCATGGTATACTGGCGAGACACTGGAAGATTACACTTCCCAGAGTACTCTTGGAGGCAAACCGTTTCTTAGAGAGCATTTGATTTAGAAAAGGAAACAGGAAGAAGTCACAGGGACTTAGATCTGTCGAAAAGGTTGGATTGTCGATATGTACTCTCTGTTGCTTCAAAAACGCATGTATAATATTGCTTTTGTGGGATGAAGCATTTTGATGAATTAGCTGGATGCCATTCAACCCTCTACTTGGACGCATTTCCATGTAGAATCTTTTGACATACTTCAGTAATTTGTCTCTGTAAAGATTGGCAGTGATAATTTTCCTTTCTTGCATGGTATCTAAATCACAAGTCCACTAGAATTGAAAAAAATGACACACAAAACATTCATGGCGCTTTTCATAAGACTTGCAAGCACTGGCCATTCCTGATTTCTTGGCAATCATTGCTTGTTATTAAAGCGCCTATGGGGTTCAAAGTAATAGATACAGGTCTCACACCCTGTAATTAACTCAGATAGCTGTCTTGAGTCGCAATTACATATTTGTTTTTCAATATATTTTAGCACATTTCAAACATTTGGCCTTTTGTTCGGATGTCAGTAAATGGGAGATCCATCGTGCAAAAAGATTCCTAAGTTTCAGGCTCTTGGTCAGAATGTGAAGTGTACTGGCTTCTGAACTGCCAACCATCTGAGCTATATCAGAAACAGTATAACGACCATCATCCTTAAATTTGATGCCTGCAACAACTGGCCTTTTTTTGCCGTGTGTCCTCTTTTACATATATGTCGAGTTTACCATTCTTGAATTTGTTTACCGAACCGAAAACCGTTCTCAGTGTAACGGCAGAGATGCCTTTTGTGCTGAACAACTCTATGTATACTTAGTATCTGTTTTGGTGGTATCTGTACATCACACCGTTCTTTGATATAGGAGCGTATTTCAGATTTAATCCTAACCTTCATTTTAGCATTGAAAAGTAGTCACTAGTCACGCCTGTATACAATTTAGCAATGAAAAGTAGCCACTAGTCACGCCTGTATACCATTTAGCAATGGATTACTTGTTTAGTTCTTGTCAGATGATGTAAAAAATTTGCACGTGCATTGTTCTTTAAATGCATTTGCAGTCTGTTAAGTCGCTAAACTATTTTATTGTCCATTCGCACGGGAGCTTTGTGGTGAAAGAAGTTATGAAATAACCCTTGTACATCTAACTTCATGTTTGTTTTTCAATTTTCAAAAAACAAAGCGAGCTTGAAGCAACGATTTACCACAACGACGCAACTTTATATATATATATAAAGAAGTAAAGAAACAAAGGCTCGTGTGACCATGGAAATAGAACTAAAATAAGGCCATTATGATAAAACATTCAAAGACTATATCCCGCCAGAACTTTCGCCCTCCTTTGTGCTCGTTGTGCAATTTAGAGAATGGCGAAAGTACATGTAGCTTCAAATGTTTAACCTAACTATACATATAAAATATATGTATTTTCATGATATACATGGTTTTCGTTTACAACAATACAAGAATCACTTGATAACTAAATCAACCAATGTATTTGCGCATGCATTCTTCTCATATTAACTATTGGTAGTCATTTAAGCATTGAACTGTTTTTGTATGGTATTTATGATCTATTTGAATGACACAGCTTTGCAAGAATACAACATAATGCGCGCTAGCGCATTATGATTTGTTTGCTTGCAAAGCTGTGTCATTCAAATAGATTATAAATACCATACAAAAACAGTTCAATACTTATATTTACGTATTCTCTGCCTATTATGTTCTTTTTTAACTTATAATTTATATTTAAAATTAAAAATGCCCGCCTTATCGACAGTCCACACAATTTCGTTCAATAGTTTGAACAGCGTATTGTCGCGCGCTGATTGGCAAACAAAGTAGTACTTTGAAATTTTAACAAACACTTCAATTTTATTCCACAATTCAGTATCAATACAATTGCGTATGATATGTCTATAGGGTGATTTAAGTTTATCAATAGAGCTCTGAGCTGAAAGTTAGATTTGAAATTGTTTCGATTTTTCCCCGGAACAAATTTCGCGCATGGACAAATACAGTGAACACCGTAAATCCGACCTTGCCCTCCACGAGGGAGTTATTTTTGGAAGTTAATTCGAACTTTTCTCTTTGCTCATTTTGTGAAGAATCCAGGCGTGAATTTATTTGTTGATTGTATGGGAACCTGACAACAGTCGGTAGATTCTATAACAGCCTCGTTATTTGACATGTCGTCAGAAACTGAGGAACCGTGGATGCGAGACGCGTGAAACTGATAGCGTTTGAAGTGAGTGATCTTGCGACGGAGCACAGGTTCGTTACAAATGTCTGAAATGTTTATGTGTGCTGTGACTCATATCAGTAGGTCTGTAACATATGTGTCAGTAGGTCTATAGAATATGTGTATTTCAGACATTTGTAACGAACCCCTGTTGATCAGTGCAGTGTAACAGACGATATTTCTGATAAATTGCATGAGCGTTAAAATTGTTTCCATTGCCGGCATTGGTGATTTCAACCGATGTGCATTTTGTACGATATTGCAGACCTTGGTCTTGTTGTCGTTGTAATAAAAGTGTTTTTTATTTTATTTTTTATTTTTTGCATATAAATTTACAATGACATTGTCAAATCTCACAATGCACAGCGATATTTCAGCAGCCGTCATGTTTATTTATATTGGATATTGTAGTTCCGGTCAGTGTTGTATTAGTACGCTAAGAATTGTGTCTCGTGATGCATGGTAATTAAAGTCCCATCAACGACACAGCTTTCAAAGAGAATGCCATGCAAATGTAAATATAAAATAATATTTTCAGATGGACTCATGACGCCACAACAGTGACAATCGTTACAGAGTAAAGATGACGGAAATCCTCATGGAAGGACTTGATATTTGCAAAGCATTCTTAAGCATGTGATCTGGCGAGTTAAAGTTAAATCCCTAGATCCACTTCATAAACCTCACATATATATAGCATGTAGTTTTTCCTTGCTTATCTCTTTTATGTCTTGAAAAAGAAGCGTTTTCCCCCGAAAATAATGCATTTTTCACGGAGTAGCTGATAGTAACAAACGATACAATCATCATTGTAATCCCCACTTTTGTCAGGATAGAAAATGAACTCACATGAGCTACATATCAATATACAGAACAAAGAACAATAGTCGCATACCTTCCTTACCTCCGAATTATGACGATTAACATTTTTACCAGGTAAGCAGAGGGTAAGAGTGAAGTTTAACGAGATATTTTCCAAATGTTCCGATCTTAGGAGTGTATTGATAAACGGAAGTAGAAAGTACATCCCTAGTTGAAAATCCAATGTAGGGAGACAGTATCACAATTTCCGCATATTCTAATGTTTAATATTTTTTTATCAATGAGCCACATGTATCCATTTTTCTGTACTTCAGGAAACCGGCTACCTATTTAACTACTGTGACTTTTTTCAAGAAAAATAACTCTTACCTGCAATTACTATGTGCATATGGTTTTATTATAAAATGTCAATTTTTAATCGTTTATAGATAATTTATTTGACATAATTTCAGCATTTATTAAATTGATATACATTAATGCAATACTAATCTATGGCAGTATACTTTTTATTGACATCATTTTGCAAAATATTTTGTCTTTCAATTGTTTTTCAAAGGTCACTCCTTTTTACATAAATTTCCATTTAAATTCCTTAAAATTATGACAACCTATATTTTTTTTTTGTGGCAGAACATTTTCTTTCGTTCAAAGCAATATAACTATAAAATTTGAAGAAATTCTACTGAGAAATAGCGACACATTCCTATACCCCTTCACCCCTATTTTTCGTTATACAGTGTCTGGTTGTAGTGTTTTATCTAAGTTAGACGTATTAATTACATAGAGGATCTTACAGGAGTGACCATGTCATATTAAATTTATTAAAGAAGTTCAATAATTTTATGACACTCGCCTAAATAAAACTATCGACAGAGTTCAATAAATTCCATATGACATGGACACGAGTGTAAGATTCTATTTATCACATAACATTCATAATATAAATGTGTTCTCAGTCGACTCTTTATAGTTAGAACCAAAGTACTCCGATCATAGTATTGTCGTTCCGTGCAGTGCAAATTAGTTCCATATTTCCCCCTCCCTTTTAGTACCTTTAGAGGCGTATGAATACGTTCCCAAGGTTTTAACCAACCGCAGCACCTTCAGTTTGTATTACACATGTGCATATGTATGACATTGCCGTATGATATTATAAAAACGGTCAGTTATGTGATAAATTACAATATCACTCTGTTTTACTGTTGTATGTTGGTAGAATTACGTATGACAGACGATAACACAGTTGTTAAAATTTGTTAAGATTTTAATATGTACCTGTTCTCACAAAGTATCAGTATTATATCATCTTGTATATTCTTTACGTGAACAGTTGAGACGAGTGTTACATGTATATATTCGGATAAACTTAGATAATTAACGAACAACGAAGACATGCGAGCATACCTAAAACAAACGGATATGTGATCACATCGATCGTATAGTTGCTATTTGAATAACAAAACTCATCGGCTGAATCATGGTATAGATGATTTGTTAGTTACCGGAGTATACTCTATTTACTTAATTGCAACTTTTACCTCAGGAAACGAATCTATTGACTTAAAATGTGCTCACCAGACGGTACCAGTATACAGTTTGTACCCATTGAATATCAACTTCTAGTATTATGTTGTATTATTGTGACTTTACACAAATAAACACATACGTAATTGTTTGTATTGATAGAATTTACATTAATAACTGGGCATCAGTGTCTGAAGAAATTCCACTGTATTCATGAGGCAATGTTTGGCTGAAACGTACTATTATCACAGGTAAGTTGGCTCCGTATGTGAACCTTAATATTTTGTGTGAATTTCAATCGAGGTCCGTCAGATATGTGCACTTGCATTTTAATCCCACTCGATATCCCGGACGGATGATCGCAAGCGAACTATATAACACGGTTTATTGGTAAACCATCGACTGTCTGTCTATAATACACTACAGCGGAAATATACTTACAGGAGTTAATAGTTCAGTCATACGGATTTAAATGTTTCAACGAAAATCAGTATTTGCATAATATATGCATATTTATATGCATATGCCTTTCAGATCTTGCAGTAATGTTGTTTGATGAGAGATCAATATATGACTGTTTTACCAAATCACTATTTATGCTCCCCAAATTGAACCATTCCGCCTGCTCTGTTACTAGTAGCGGTTGCCCCGGTCCCCATTGTAGACACGATATCCGTTGTCCTGATGGGGGTTCTCCTTGTCTGTGTCGTAACGCCAGAAATCATCATCGTTCTTGAAGGTGTATCTAAACACTTGAGGTGCCTGATCTCCGTACTTCTGCCGGTATGCAGCAGGTGCCATACTTATTGGCCGGTCCGGTAGTCGGACTGGATCCGGCATGACGTAAGAAGCCCCTAATTTAGGCTGATGACGAGGTGCAGGCGGAGGAGGGGGAGGGGCGACATACCGCCGCTCTGGTTCAGGGGAGTGCCTCGTACGCTTTCTAGGATAATCCTCATAGTATTCGTCATCATCGTAGTGCATCATAAATCGGTTTAGGAATAGGAGGAAGGCAACAACAATGGCGAGTCCGCCACTAACTGAGGCAAGGATGAGTGAATACTCGGCCCTTGTTGAAGACACCAGGAAACGGAAGGTGTTTAAACCGTTGTAGTTCCTGATAGTGTTGATATAGAACCACACAACAGAGACTAGTTCGCAGATACCTGAAACACAGGGAACACAGTAATACATCAGCAAGACATCGTTAACATTATACATTCGTGAGCACTTTTTTTTTTAATTATCTCTCTGTATTTTATTTTGCGGTTCCACTGTCAAGAAAGTCATGACAAATAAGACAACGAATACGTCATATTATTCCCCGTTTGAACATCTCGTCATATCCAATTTTACCGTTTTGGTAGTATCCTCTCATTTCTTAGTGTGACAGTATGATATCTTTAATTTCTAGTTCAATTTTTCTGGTTTTATTCTGTGATGAACCTACCTCCAAGTAAAGTGAAGCATGCGCAGGCGAGGATCTTCTGTTTGTCAGAACCACATCCCCCTCTGTAGCAGTCCCGTAGAACGTCCACACACGCATACGAAAAGCAGAAGAACAGTGACAAAGTGAGACTTATCATTGCCAGCAGCATAAACAGGATACAGCCAACCATCTCACCTGGAAATATAGGACACAGAGTAGTCAGCGGAATAGCACGTTATTATAAATCGTTCTTATTGTATTGAATAAATGATATCTTTTTATTATGATTTACAATAATTTTGATATGTAGATAACGGTTCTGTTAAGGTACAATAAAAACAACAACAGAAACAGGACATAAGGATGGCCGCCAACAGGAATAAAAGGACGCATGACAACCCACAGAAACTAAGAGCACTTGACAACATGGACAGGGACGAAGGACACATGACAACAACAAGAACTAATATAAAGACGGATGACAACAACATGAAACAAGATAGGTAGGCATTGTAACAACAGGAATCAAGATAAGGACGTATAACAACAACATAAAATAATATAAGGACGGGTGACAACAACGTGAACTAGCATAAGGACGAATGACAACAACAAGAATAATGTAAGGACGGGTGACAACAACATAAACTAACATAAGCACGGATGACAACAACAGGAACTGATATAAGGACGGGTGACAACAACAGAAACTATTATAAGGACGGGTGACAACAACAGGACCTAATATAAGGACGGGTGACAAAAACAGGAACTAATATAAGGACGGGTAGCAACAACATGAACTAGCATAAGGACGAATGACAACAACAAGAATAATATAAGGACGGGGGACAACAACAGAAACTAATATAAGGACGGGAGACAACAACAGGAACTTATATAAGGAAGGGTAACAACCACATGAACTTATATAAGGACGGATGACAACAACAGGAAACAAGATAGGTAGGCATTGTAACAACAGGAATCAATATAAGGACGGATAACAACAACATAAACTAATATAAGCACGGATGACAACAACAGGAACTAATATTAGGACGGGTGACAACAACATGAAACAAGATAGGTAGGCATTGTAACAACAGGAATCAATATAAGGACGGATAACAACAACATAAACTATTATAAGGACGGGTGACAACAACAGGCACTAATATAAGGACGGATGACAACAACAGGAAACAAGATAGGTAGGCATTGTAACAACAGGAAACAAGATAAGGACGGATAACAACAACATAAATTAATATAAGTACGGGTGACAACAACATAAACTAATATAAGCACGGATGACAACAACAGGAACGAATATAAGGACGGGTGACAACAACATGAAACAAGATAGGGAGGCATTGTAACAACAGGAATCAAGATAAGGACGGATACCAACAACATAAATTAATATAAGGACGGGTGACAACAACGGGAACTAATATAAGGACGGGTGACAACAACGTGAACTAGCATAAGGACGAATGACAACAACAAGAATAATGTAAGGACGGGTGACAACAACAGGAACTTATATAAGGAAGGGTAACAACCACATGAACTTATATAAGGACGGATGACAACAACAGGAACTAATGTAAGGACGGGTGACAACAACAGGAATTAATATAAGGACGGGTGACAAAAACAGGAACTAATATAAGGACGGGGGACAACAACAGGAATTAATATAAGGACGGATGACAACAACAGGAACTAATGTAAGGACGGGTGACAACAACATAAACTAACATAAGCACGGATGACAACAACAGGAACGAATATAAGGACGGGTGACAACAACATAAACTAATATAAGCACGGATGACAACAACAGGAACGAATATAAGGACGGGTGACAACAACATAAACTAACATAAGCACGGATGACAACAACAGGAACGAATATAAGGACGGGTGACAACAACAGGAACTAATATAAGGACGGGTAGCAACAACATGAACTAGCATAAGGACGGATGACAACAACAGAAACAAATATAAGGACGGGTGTCAACAACAGGAACTAATATAAGGACAGGTAACAACAACATGAACTTATATAAGGACGGATGACAACAACATGAAACAAGATAGGTAGGCATTGGTACAACAGGAATCAAGATAAGGACGGATAACAACAACATAAACTAATATAAGGACGGGTGACAACAACAGGAACTTATATAAGGACGGATGACAACAACAGGAACTTATATAAGGACGGGTGACAACAACAGGAATTAATATAAGGACGGGTGACAACAACAGAAACTATTTTATTTTATCGACGGGTGACAACAACAGGAACTAATATAAGGACGGATAACAACAACATAAACTAATATAAGGACGGGTGAAAACAACACACAGAAACTAATATAAGGACGGATGACAACAACAGGAACTAATATAGGGACGGGTGACAACAACAGGAATTAATATAAGGACGGGTGACAACAACATGAACTAACATAAGGACGGATGACAACAACAGAAACTAATATAAGGACGGGTGACAACAAGAAAAACTATTTTAAGGACGGGTGACAACAAGAAAAACTATTTTAAGGACGGGTGACAACAAGAAAAACTATTTTAAGGACGGGTGACAACAAGAAAAACTATTTTAAGGACGGGTGACAACAAGAAAAACTATTTTAAGGACGGGTGACAACAAGAAAAACTATTTTAAGGACGGGTGACAACAAGAAAAACTATTTTAAGGACGGGTGACAACAAGAAAAACTATTTTAAGGACGGGTGACAACAAGAAAAACTATTTTAAGGACGGGTGACAACAAGAAAAACTATTTTAAGGACGGGTGACAACAAGAAAAACTATTTTAAGGACGGGTGACAACAAGAAAAACTATTTTAAGGACGGGTGACAACAAGAAAAACTATTTTAAGGACGCATGATAACAACATGAACGTAGGACACAGAGTAACAACAAGCACATCATAAACATGAACAAATAGCATTTAGTCGCCTCATTCTTACTCTCAAACATTTATATATCAAGAAACGTTTCATTTCTAGGGAGAAGTTGATTGCGAATGAAAATTTCTAGCGAACATTTATTCATACCGATTAAATGAAGACAATGCAATACTCCTTTGAATATCTTTTTTCCTTTTTAAAGACGATTTTTAATATAAAACCTCCCATAATAATTTGAAACCAAACTACAAGAGAATAACGAAGTGTTAATAAAACCACAATCAAACTCGAATCAGTAAAACAATGGCTAATTTGAATAAATGGATAATTTCATGGAGACCCATGCTAAAGACATAAGGAAGGTGAGACCCGATGATTTAGTGCAAGATTAAGTTATGTCACGTCCTATGAATCTAAAGGCGAAAACCGGACATACTAATGAGCACAATCCAAACCCTTACACATCGTGATGGCGATCATAAAAGTGCCTACTGGCATCTCTCGAAACCCTGTCATTTAAGTTTGTCCGTCAGCAGTCCACATCAATTTTGTTGCCTCGAAGGACAAAGCGTAAACTGTAGAAAATCTTACAGGTTTTTACTGCAATCTTTATCCCGTGTGAGATCTAGAATGGACATATTATTTCGGTAAAATAAGAGTGATTGAAAATGGTCTGACCGTTATAATGTTTGTGACGTTGAGTGTGTTGCAATGTTAGGAACAATGTTTAGCATTGGTTTGGTGCATAAAGCATATTTCATTATTGTAATAGGGTACATCTAAAATATTTTCTTTCTGGAGTACATAGTACAATGTTATGATTATCCATAGGGCATTTGGGATTATTTACGTAATAACCTAAGCTCTTAATTATCACTTCATGTGTATACACGCCTTGTATTCGTACTACTTCCCCTACTTTAAGAGTATATGTAATAACCCACATATACCCCGAACACATGTGTTATAACCACCCGACTTAATTGCTCCCTAGCATTGTCGTCGGCCTTACATTAATAAAGGGTGTGTTTATAAATAGCCAAGCTAAAGCCTAGAGTAGCTGTAGTACATTGTCATGCCAGGTATGAGAAACGACGTGAGCTTGGGCTGGAATGCAGTGTTGCCCAACCTCACTATCGCTCACACGGGTGACTACACAAAACAGATGACCCACAAAAAACATTGTTATATTGTTCTGCTTTTTGGTTCACGTACAAAACTGAAAATGAAAGACATGAGCAACTTTCATCCTTTTTTATGGTTTACTTTAAAGGATATCAATTGTACACATGACTTAAACGTCCATTAACCTATGAAATATCAGGTGCGTTAATGACGTCTGATGTACTTTGTACAAATAGATAGAGTTTATGTTACTCGAGTATTTTACTCATAAATAATGCAGACATGGCGAATATTTCATATAGTAACGTCGGAAAAAATCGTTTATTGCTTCCTGGGTCTTTGAGTATTCAGAGTGGTATATATATATATATATATAAAAGCAGGAAAAACTTATTCAGCAAAATGGCGTACACAATTATAATGAATATGATAATTTTCAAAACAGCAATAGAGTAAACACAGTACAATTGACACGAGTAACATAGATACATACTGGGGTGTACATGTACAACAGACACAAACCACCCCTTGTTGGCAGAATAAACTTACCACTGTATCTCTCTAGGTTGAAGAAAGTCAGATACTTCGAACAGGTGTTTGATTGGCAGACATCGAAAAAACCAAAATTAAAGGCTACAGTATTCCCTGTTAGGGAAATGTAGGCCCAATAAGGTGTGGCAAACGCCACTATGGCCAAAACCAGTACCGTCAGCAGGACCAGCAGCAACACCCATTGGCACGGACGGTTCGCCATCATCGAGTCCTGCTGTCCACCTTTGGTCCGTTCCGCCGGACGTTCAGAGTAGTATCCCCTCATAGTTTGTGTGGCATTCCCGGCTTATTGTTTAGTAGTGACGTCACTTTTCCCTATCTGCTGCCTACTGTTCCTAGTGAAATACAGGTAGCTATTTTCAGGTAGTTATTTCTACCGACTTACCCTACCTTTATCCCTGCTTACTCAGGTATACACACCCTTGTCTAATCACAAGCAATAACAACTGGTGTCGTGAATACAAGATCATTAGACCATTGCAATATATATATAAAAAAAGAATAGTTGAACGGGCGTGTATATATTCTGGATGGTTGGCGTGCGTTGGAATATATATACCTGGCTGAAAACCTGTTTTAGTTAACTCCCATTGATGTAATACCCGTTCATCGAGTCACGTTAAACCCATTTTACGCACATTCAGATAGAAGGCGTGGCAGATGGTGACGTATTACACGGTCTGGCTTTGTATACACCTTGCACTATATTTCGTGCCTAGTCATTAATGTAATATAGATATATCTGGTGTAGTTTTAGACAAAATACCCTGAAATAGTCAGGCAAACCGATTTTAAATTAGTTGGTACAGTACACTATGTAATAGTAGATACAATTGTATTCTAATATATATCCTCGTAGATTTTGGGCGTTGTTTTTATTCTTCATATTTTGATACGGATTAATATATTTTGTCCAATATATACTTTAAGGGAGCGAATGGAATTAATAATTGCACGAACGCATTTCTTCACACCACGGTGATTAAACTAAACTGACGCTGACTGCTTCCAAACCTTAACAACTACTTTACTCATACAAGTTTCGTATGTTAACAAGAGTACATCCAGAAGCTGTACCCAAACCAAGGATTCATTAATAGAATTGACCTATCAACGCAAGCTGTTCAGAATCCCAATCAAGATAACGGTATTATACTGTCTTATTATAAAGAGTGAAGCCTAGCGGAGAGAAATGGCACCAAGGCAGGTAATCCAGTCAACCATATAGGTCATGCGTGGTGCTAAACTTCCAATGGATAGTGATATCTCGTAGTGGAATAAAAAGAAAACGGGGCGAAATTGTTTTGAGGATTGTTCAAATACAAACAAACCAATTGTGATCTTATCTTTAGTAAGTTGTAGAGGTTTATTGAATGAAACGTGTAGCCTATCAACTGTCCAAACCAATATCATACGATTGAAATAAATTTTAATGTTATTTTTTTATATGGCATAATTCAATTTCATCTTTATGAAATTTAGGCCTATAATATGAAAGGAATTTCCAAAACCATGCTTTAAAGGGACAATTTAGTGAAGTAAGTTTTTTTTATAACGTTGTCACAAATTTCTTAATGATTATATAGTTTGAAACTCCTTATGAACAATTGATGTCGAGAAATTGACAAGATACAATGTTTTCTTGGTGTCTTTAATCAGTAATGAAGAAATCCCTAACTGTACAGCCGTACGTTTTAGCGGCAGCTGTCGGTGAATTTCTAGCTAACAAAAATGTCTTTCCAGCCGAGGAGAGATGGTAACTTCTCGCTTTATCCACATAGCCTCTCTGGAATACAAGTTCATGCATTAATTCTGAATAAAAAAAAATTCATCTTCCGACATCATCTTAATCTCAAACATCGTTATAAATGATCGAGTGATCTATTGATATCGTACTTTCTGCGGTTTGAAATTCTCCCTGCGCTCTAATTAAACCTGTTCGTTTTTATTCAAATCGAAATAGGAACAGAAATATCTGATGAGAGGTATATATTATGATACTTATAATTCTTAGTTGCGATGTATTGTGTAAATTCAAGGATGTGTTACGTGTGAACTCAGACTCGTAACTGGCATTGTGTTGCCGGTCGACAGCGTACAGTGCTGTACCTGTTTACTTCTCAATAAAAGGCCCGGATGTTGCGCTATTTCTGTCGTAGTTATTTTTACCACAGGCTTTCCCAAAAAATGAAACTGACCGCACTGGACTTTGGCGTCTTGTCATATCATTATCAACTACGAAAACGTTCGTTAGGATTTTTTTTCCTTTCAGTATTGACTCGATTTTCAGGTCGTTATATGACTATATATATGGTTTTCATGGTTTTCTTTTCCTCGGTAGGAACTATTATCTCTGTAAGTGTTGTCACCTGGGCAAAAATGTACCCCATCCACACGGCAAAGTTCAAACCTGTATCACGAAATTTACGTAGTATTTCCTCAAGTTCAAAATTTCCGAAACACCTTTTAAAACTTTCTTCAACAGCTTCACAAAACCCTTGATTTGGTAAGGTAGGCTCGTTATGGTCAACACAAGAATATTTCGATTTGTATTAATTGGTCAGATCAGGCAAAAATGGCACTACGATGAGGAACAAAAAATCAGCATAGAACGATCATATTAAAAAAAAGTTGGTTAATGATGCTAAAATATAGTAGGATTTTCCCTCTGACTTTAAGATCACAAATCTGCTTTATGCTAAGTTACTAGTAATCACGGCCAACATCGCGATCCAAACGGTTGAACCGGTTGGACCAGAGTTGCTCGTTTATGAAATAATGTCGAACATAGTAATCTAATCATGCTTTTAGGCGAGCCTTGACAAAGCCTCGCAAGGCATGCATAAACATTTGCAGTCCGCCAGGATATACAGACAAACCGATTGTACCGCAGAAACGAATAGGCCCTATTTCAGAGCACCATCTGAAAGGCCACTTGTAGACGAGTACCTCTGTTCGATCGGCGAGGTACAAAGGCAGACAGCAAATTAGTCAGAACGTAACTAAACCCTTTTTGTAAAAAGACCAAATCTTCGTGTCCAGAGACTCACGTCGAATAGTTTCTTTACTTTCCAAACAACTTTGCTTTAAACCTCTACACCAGCTTATTGTACCATATACTTATTTCAATCACAAGTATAGTAACGTCATGAAATACAATCGATTCAATGTTATTTTATTCGTTGAAATAAAATTTAGATAAGTATTTGGTATAAACGTCTTGCAGCACAGCTGGTATCAAATACATTGGTGAACCACTGACCCAGCTTTCGCTCAGTACATTGAACTTATGCTACATTTGATTACTTTAAATCACGAACGAGACACTAGCTGAGGCAAAGCTAAGAATATTCAATTTCACCGAAAACGACTTACGTTTGACCTCCGTCTGATGGTAAAATCGTTGGTTTTTGGTTTCCATGGAAACGGCGCTAGTATGATTGCCTATATTTCAAACATCTTTGATAGATGTGTCATCGTCATACCCTTCTCTATCACTATCTACGTTGATGACACGCAGGTATACATGATTGTGAGAACACATCACAGCTGGGATACCAAGCCAGAAAATCTTGAAGTCTGTCCAGTGTCAATGAAAGTTTTTGGAACAGGGTTAAGCAGAACTCATTGTTTTCAGAACCACGCATCTTTGGAATGACACAAAAATTTGCAGCTGACGACGGGTGTGTTCAGCAATTCATCACCATAGATAAACATTATAATACTTTCTTGAATATATATGAATGTTGTATGCTATATTAATGCAAGACCAACAACTGGAGCCATACAATATCTTCATGAAGAGAAAGGCGATATACATTTTGTAGTTCTGTTTGTTCATGGCGAATTGGTGACAAGAACAAGAATATGAAATTATCTGGACTGACGTTCTAGAGGTATAGGTTCACTGGTTTACACTGGTTTTCACCACTGGTTTACACTGGTTTACCTTTGTTGCGGCAGTGCTACTCGAAATAAATGGATACCATCGTAGAAAGGTCGGTGGTAGTGTCAAGTGTCCCTTTGTTTGGTGTGTCGATTGCTTGTACCTAAGATCGTTCTGTAGTGTACACCGAATGTTACCCGACACGTGAGGGGAAGGACAGATACTAACTACCAGTGTTGATCAGTAGATTGTCACACTTTTTGAACATGACAACTTGCAATAGTCACCCTTTCAAATATCACAATGCTTAACTCTACACACCCTTCGTGAAAAGAAAAAAAATCAACCCAATAGCAAGAGGTATCGTTACACGGGTTTACAATGGCCTACCTTTATCTGATTCTATTTGCGATAAATGAATATCACCATAGAAAGGTTAAACAATAGAGTAAAGAATTACAGGGGTTGGGTGATTTTTCTGTACCATGATATTGACCTACTGTTGTTTAATTCTAGGTGGTAACGACCTTTTACTGAATTCTTTTTGTTTATGATACACTTAATAAAGTATAAAGAAAAACTATTTCTAAGCGTATCAGGCTGTCGAAAGTCAATACCAAGGCGTATCATGTCGTAGTGATTCAATGTCTAAGACTACAAGTCTAAAGCCAGTCAATATGTAAGTGTGCAGGCTTAAATAAGTCAATGTCGAGGTATAGCCAGTCAATATCTAGGCGTATCAGACCGTAATAAGTCAATATCTAGGCGTATAATGTCGTAGTAAGTCAATGTCTAGGTGTATCATGTCGTAGTAAGTCAATGTCTAGGTGTATAATGTCGTAGTTAGTCAATGTCTAGGTGTATCATGTCGGAGTAAGTCAATGTCTAGGTGTTTCATGTCGTAGTTAGTCAATGTCTAGGAGTATTATGTCGTAGTAAGTCAATGTCTAGTCGTATCATGTCGTAGTTAGTCAATATCTAGGTGTATCATGTCGTAGTAAGTCAATGTCTAGGCGTATCATGTCGTATTAAGTCAATATCTAGGCGTATAATGCGTAGTAAGTCAATGTCTAGGTGTATCATGTCGAAGTAAGTCAATGTCTAGGTGTTTCATGTCGTAGTTAGTCAATGTCTAGGTGTTTCATGTCGTCTTAAGTCAATGTCTAGGCGTATCATGTCGTAGTTAGTCAATGTCTAGGTATATCATGTCGTATTAAGTCAATGTCTAGGCATGTCATGTCGTAGTAAGTCAATGTCAAGGTGTTTCATGTCGTAGAAAGTCAATGTCTAGGTGTATCATGTCGTAGTAAGTCAATATCTAGGCGTATCATGTCGTAGTTAGTCAATATCTATGTGTATCATGTCGTAGTAAGTCAATGTCTAGGCATATCATGTCGTAGTTAGTCAATGTCTAGGTGTTTCATGTCGTAGTTAGTCAATGTCTAGGTGTTTCATGTCGTAGTTAGTCAATGTCTAGGTGTATCATGTCGTATTAAGTCAATGTCTAGGCATATCATGTCGTAGTAAGTCAATGTCTAGGTGTTTCATGTCGTAGTTAGTCAATGTC